TGTCCTCCTGGTACCCACACCCTCCAACCCCCGTGCCAAGCCTTCCCCAGCCCCTTCCCTTCCGGTAGGAGCCTTTCCTCGGCACCCAACACGGTCCCATTCCCCCGCGCTCCCAACCCTCTCCGCCAAAGGCAGCCCAGCTCGGAGTCACACCCTCGCCAGCCCGATTCCCGCACCCCGCCCGGCGGAGACCAGCCGCCGAGCCCCTGCCAGCCACGCCCTCCGCCCGCTTCGGGGTCCTCCCCGCCAGCCCGGCCGGGCGCCCTTCACGGCCCCCAAGTGCCCAGGCCTCCCCGCAAGCCCCGCCGGCCCCGCCCACAGGCCCTCACCGAGGAGCAGCAGCTTCACTTCTTTCGCCGCTTTCTCCCCGTCCTCACGCAAGTTGCGGTCGATCATCTTGCTCCGCTCCACCGCCGCCTTGTCCTCGGCGCTCAACGTGTACGCACCGCGGAGACTGCGGGTCGGCCGGCCGAGTCGGCGTCTGCTGCTGGGCGGCGGCCCTCTCGGTCAGCTCCTGGAGCGCCCGGAGAAACCGGACATCCGGCGTTTACGACACTTCCGGAAACGCCCCGCTGCCGTTACGGCTAGAACTGTTCCTGCTGGGGAAACTGGAGGAGCAACCGGAAGCGGAAGTACGGGGGGTGGGGGATGGCGAATCCCGGCGATGGTTCTGAGGGCTGCTACCGTCTCGTGGAACTCGCCTTAGTCCCTTTGCATGTTTTCGGTTGTCATTTTTAAATAAACGCAGAAAAACCGGGGACTGGCTTCAGTTCATGGCGCCCTCCCCAGGGCACAGCCCCGCTTTGGATGAGGGTTGGAGGGGTGGACTCCTGTTAAGAACCCACAACCCGCCTGGGGATTTCTCACTGGCCAAACCCGGGGTCCCTGGCCAAGTGTAGGACACGTTCTCCACCCGGGTCTGCGCAGCCAGGTCTATGGGATGGGAGCAGACTTCAGAGCCGGGTCCTGGCCACGCTTCACCGCTGCGATCTGTCAGGCCGACCGTGCCTGGGACCAGAGCAATCCCTTTCTCCCCCTCCGTCCGCCGCCTCCTGCTCCTGGTCCTTGGGCCGTTACGTGCAGGTTTGTGTGGACCTGAGAACTGTCCAGCTACTGCGTTGTTGGCAAAGGGCTCCTTGAAATCGCTGGCAGACTCTCCCTGGAAGGTAAGCGGGTAGTTCCTCCATAGCATGTCCTCGCTGCCTTTCCGGGATGAGCCGTCGTCGCCCCGCAGCTTGTCTGCTGAAGGGCCTTAGCTCTTTTCTACCCGGACTAGTCAACCTCAGCCCCACACCCAAAACAAACCAGTGCACCCTGTGAATCTCCTAAAATTTCCTGTTGCGGTGCCACACAAAAAGGGAAGTTCTAGTAAAACTGGCCTTTCAGTTCTAGGATCACTTGAAAATTAATAAATCCCCTATGAAAGTCCCAGGCTGTAGCCTTTTCCACTCGTAATCTGGGTACTACTTCGAAGGTGACCGTACATTACCTCTTCTCCCAAGAGCCCCACACCTCCTCTCCACCATACAGTCTAGGGAGGGGAACTCTTGTAGCCCCAAAAGCTTTTCCCTGTGGTTAAAAATTATTTCCCTAATATAACCTAAGCCTTAGAATATAAGAAAGGTTTTTATGGTGATGATACAATAATTAGAAAAGTTCCACGAGAGCCACCTTACACAGCCTCCACCCCCATAACTTTATACCAGTTTTCTCGAAGTTTGACAAGACTCCTATTCATTCCCTAATGACTGTTAGAATAAAAGGGACATGTTTTCCCATAATCAGGACTAATGGGGGGAAAGGGCAAGAGGAAAGGGAAGAAAAACCAGTGTTTATTGAGGACCTACTTGCCAGGTATGGCTAGGTGCTTCCCTATGTCATCTCTTTGAATCCTCACAACAACCCTGTGGGGTAGGTAATGTTGTCCCCACTTTTGCAGATGAGGAAATAGGCTCAGAGAAGTGAAGCATCTTTCCCAAGTTCACACAGTGAGTACGTAGGTCTGTGTGACTCCCAGATTCACCCCTTTCCTCTCACGCCGCTGTAAGGTGTTACCTGGGGAGACCTGACAACAGAAGGTCTTCATCTAGGCTTGAGAGCTAGCCCAGCACCAACCGGGTGCAGGAAACAGCAGCGACAGATGGGTTGTCTCAACCTGCTGATTCTGCAGGGGATTAGGGGCCAAATGTTTCCAGGAACAACCTTCCCAGCCAAGGATTACATATCGAACTTGACCAAGCAATCCTGGCGTCGAGAAAACTCCTGGAAGGTGGTCATGGCAGAAACTGTTGGGAAAGTTCTTAGCATAAGAGAAGAGAAATGTTTATCTCCTTCATGATTCACTCGGGGGGAAAATAAAAGGCAAACGAACCAGCGTATGTCAAAGTCTGTAATAAACGCCAGTGAGGTCACAGGTGTCAGGAAATTTCAGCCTGAATTAGAGTTATCCTTGCACTTAAAATTTTCTCCTTTGATGTATGGGGAGGAAGGGTTGCTGGGCAAAGTCAAAGGAAAAGGCAAAATAATTTAACAAGATGGCTCCCAGACAATGTTTAATGCCCCCTTCCTGGGCCCTGCACCCCCCCCCCCACAC